ACCGGGACAAATGCCCTATTTTCTACTAGTGTGAAACATGAATATTAAGTCTAGTATTACAGTACATGAAAATGTTGTGTTTAGGCGGAGCTATGATTGTCGGGGGTCAACCCCTCGACCTTAGATAAAATTGTGGAGCTCTGTTTAGGGTTTTTTAGATTATATTTGTCCCCACCCTCCCAACCACCGATTGGTTGTGCACCCCCCACCCCTCCTCCCCTTGGATCCCATATCCAATGACCTCGAAGCTCGTATCACCGTAGCATCTAAGATGAAGGAGGACATCATATTCTCCTGTATGTAAGAATATCATGTGCTACCACACCTTAGATGCTTTGGTGATACAAGCTCTTCGGAGTCGTTGGATTTGTGACCGAACACCTCCTCGGTGGTTCCAATGGTTTTTTGCAGAAAAGCCCCAAAAGAGTTTGGCAACTGCTTACAAGCACAAAGACTGCTCATATGCCATTGGATCTCACATCAGACGATCTCTAAGCTCGTATCACCGTAGCATCCAAGCTGCGATAGCACCTTATGTTTTCTCGCACGAGAAAATATGAGGTGCTCCCGCACCGTAGATTCTATGGTGATACTAGTTCACTGAGATCTAACGGCCCACAGTAGGAGGTTTGAATGTTTTTGCAATATACGGCTGAGAGAGTTTGGAAAATACGCAGAAAGTACAAGTACTACACATGTGCCATCTGATCACTGATCATACGACCTAGATATTCATATCACCGTAGCGGGTAATTAAGCTACGGGGAGCACCTAATATGAGCACTGGGGGCATTGTTGCCACACCGGCCTCGGTCAGCGGGTAGGTGAGGGGCATTGTTGCCACGTGCCGGCTGACCGGAGGCATGGGCGGGGCACTGTTGCCTCGGTCATCGGTGGATGAAGACTCGTCCCATTGTACGGCCTAGATGGGACGGGAGCTGAGCCATGGCCGGGTTGACGAACACGCCAAGGGTGGAGCTGGCTTGTTGGGGAAGTCTTGGTACGCCGGGTTCGGCTGCCTTGTGCGGGTTGTCGAGGCCGAGTCGAGGAGCTTGGCCGGGTCGGAGAGTTCTGCCGGGTCGAGGGGCCTGGCCGGGTCGAGCGATCCGGCCAAGCGCGGGCCGGCTTGAGGGGCGATGCTGGCCTTGTTGTTTTTGAAAAGGATTCGGGTTCCGTTGCCTGCCCGGGGTTCATCCTCCCGACAATCTTCACGATCAACACTATCGCTACCATACCACTCACTCGTCTCCAAGAACGCATCTGTAAATCCAGTTTCTTTCTCCATTGAATAACCTCACTACCAACACTGCAACATTTAAAATAAAAATTTATCTATCAATTCAAAATCAAACTAGATGTACTGCGGTCATACCAATGAATAGTTCATAACAAACAAATGATTGTAAATAATTATTTACAGCTACTAATTTTTTTTTGACAAACTAGACGGCTTACAGGGCAAACCTAGACACTGGTGGGTCCCAATATCCGGCGGCAAGGCGTTCAGGTACGTGCACTCCAGCCTGCCTACGGACGGCGAGGACGTGCCCGGAGGTAGATCACGTTGTTGGCGACGGCGAAGGACGTGCACGAAGGTTGATCACGCCGTTGCGGACGGCAACGGCGTCCGCGTAGGCCACGTCACCCCGACGACATGCACGGAGGCCAGATCGTGTACGGCGGCCACTCCAACAACGTCCACGGCGGCCAGATCCCGGGTGAAGACGGGGAGAAAACTGAGATGGTCGGCGATCGGCGGGGAAGGGCGGCGATCGGCCGGAAGGGGCGACGTTGGAATGGGCTGCGTGATCGCGGGTAGGTCGTGGATCTTGTTTTTTCGCGTGAGGGGCGCGGGGTAGATGCGAGTCTGCCGTATCGGCTCGAGCTGTGTGCTCGGCTCTACGTGTATGCGGACAC